TTAATTAGTTAGTCCTTGAGTTCCTGCTTTCCTTTTACTTGTATTATACCTTTCTATCTGTATTTCTTCTTTTGAGTTCTTATACTAGGGAAACTATATGATATTTACACATGTGTGTCTGGTTTATTTCACTTATGAGTATATCTTCAAGTGGTATCCACTTCAATATAAAGGATTTGAGTTTATCATTCTTTGTAGCTGAGTAATACTCCATTATGTAAAAATACCAAGAGACTAGGTTTAAAGCCACCCAGAGGCTTGCAGTGGCAGTTAGAATACAATGCCACCTGCTCTTCAGGCACCTGAAGACTCCATCCTTTGGCTTCTGCCTGCTTCCCTGGTCTCACTGATGGCTCCCTGCTCCCTCACTGTGCCGTATCCCAGCTGGGCAGATCTGTGCCCTTAAAAGTTTACCAAGTTTATTTTGGCCCCAGGCTCTTAGCATCTGTGTGTGTGACCACCACTCAACTTAGGATATGAAACCTGTCCATCACCTTCAACATTCCCTGTGTCCCTTTGCAGTCATTCTCTTCTTCTAGGCCCCAAGAAACCAGGAATCTCATTTCTGGCATGAGGGTGATGTGGGCAGTGATTATACATGGAGGGATACATTTGCCAAAACTCATCAGTGACAGGGGTAGAGGTGGGGAAGAGTTGGTGTCAGTGAGCTTCTCTTTATCTTGCTGTCTGAATTCTGCCAATGATGGCATTTTCAGAATGGGACCAAAGTACACAGGAGCCAGAGGGATGTAGGTAATAAGGCAGGGAGAAAACAGTGAGAATGAAGAGGAGAGACAGAAGTCTAAGAGAGACACAGGCAGGGAGTATAATGGAGCAGCTTCTGGGTCAAGCCATAAATGGGGGGACTGGCTTCTGTGAGCCCGGTGCCCTGAGCTGTTCCTCATGAATCTTATAATGAAAGGCGCTTACGAGGTGTCTACTTGTGATACTGAAACCACCTTCTCTGGGCTTTGAAAACTGGATGTTCTAATAGAAAATAAGGTCCAAGATGAGTTCTTGGTCTGGCAGAAGAAAGAGCTTCTCTCGGGTTCCTCTCTGACTGTGATCAGGTGGAACCTTTTATTATTGTATTTGGGTAAATGACCTTAATGTAATAATAATAATAATAGTGACAGTTAAGGTTGGCATAATTCCCGGTCCATTTAACTCTCTGGGTTTTTTAGCCTTCAAGCACATATTACTTTGAGATGTGCTTTAGAGATTGAAGCTGATTAGTAGCAAAATATCTGGGAGAATATAGTCTGGGAAGTATGGGAAGAGGCAGTGAAGGGACACCTAGAGTCTCTGTGGCCCTTTCACCAGCAAACCGGCTGTGGAAAAGCCTCTCCTAGATAACTGTGATGGTCATGACACACCGGCCAATTCTAAAGAAGTTTTTAAAGTGAACTTTTAATTTTAGAATAGATATAGAAAAAAGATCCTACTGAGTTTCTGCATGCAGTTTTCCCTGTAGCAACATCTTACATTAGGATGGTATACCTGTCACAATTTATGAGTACTGTTGCACTGTTATAAACTAAAGATCTGAATGACTGAAAAAAAACCTAATGCTAAAAAATTGGAATAAACCCTCATTCATTTTTGTGCATTACTATAGGATAAAGGATTCTTAGGACCTGTGGGCAAGGTGGTAATCTGCAACCAGGGAGATTTGATGTCGATTGATCAAATTCTTGCCCATTGGGTATAAAGGGGTATAGAACAATCTAGTAGCCCAAAGAAGGCTCAGGATCTTATTGAATTCATTCTTCTGATTGTCCAATCATGAATCACCTGTACCTGAGCATTTTGACTCTTCCACTTTGTAAAATGATTTTCTAAGAGGAAGGCCAGAGAATAGTTACAATTGCATTGATGGCTCTTTTATGTCATCCCAAGCTATTTTGTATGGGGATAAATGAATTAGAAATTTAAAAATCAGGCAAGAAATATGAGGGCCAAAGGAATATTTGGCTAGAGAGACACAGGCTTTTCTCTTTCATAAGATGAAAGATTATGTCTGGTGGCTCCTCAGTTTCTCTAAAATACTCATTTGACAGAATGCCTCAAAAAAACCCTATAAATTTGAGAAATCCAGGTCTTCTGGGTCATCTTTACTTTCAAGTGAATTTTTGAACACGATAGACCCCAAAATACACTAGTAAAGAAGCTGCTAGGTGCCCAGGAAATTGACATTCCTTGTTACAAGTGGCGCTATCTGCACAGCTTGGGAGCTGAGAGCACACGCTCTCCTCTGCTCTTCCTTGGGGGATGCTCTCTATGTCCTTGTATTGGCCAGATAATTCTGTTTATTATATCCTGGACTTTATACCTGTGACCTATTTATTGCTCTGGGGCATGGTATTCTGTAAGGTCCAGGATTTATAAACAAGATTTGGGTGGTTTTTCAATTTCTTAAAGTCCCTCGAGAGTGAATCATACATTATCTTTTAAAGGGGTGGAACATAACCTTCTTAGGGCAAAATTTAACAGCACATCATAGAACAAAATGCCTACAGGGACCAGACAGTCTGACCTTCTAGAACATGACTGCAGTACTGACTATAAAATATGTTTTTAAAATCCTAATAGGTCTCAGAAGTTTAAAGGCAAGGCAATTTTTGATTTCTGATAGCTATTAGAAGTTGACACAACATATCCCTAAATATATTGGGTTCTTACAAGTTAGAATGTGGGTGCAAAGCCAAAGACTACTATGTTAGATTCTTTGCCAGAGGAAAAGCTGCCTTAAGCGTGTCCTGACACATCACAAATCTTAAACCCTATCACCTTCTCCCTTTCTTGTCCCTGCCTGCCCACCTGCCATG